AAATTAAATTTACAAAATCTTATTTAAAATGTTAATTGTTCGATATGAAATCATATATCTTGACTCATTACCTTTTGGTTTGATTTTCCTATCATTTCCATCAATATAAAAAGGACGAAAATAATTTTGAAATTCATGATTTATATAATATAAAAACATAACATTAAGGGTTTAGGTAGTGCTGCTTGTTATGTTGTTTATAAATATATCAACCAATTTTCTAATTTTAGGACCTTTATTATCCATTTTAAATATAGCATAAAATAGGTACATAAGTCTGAAGATCAGTGAAATAAAATTTGACCTGTCCAAATATCAAGATATCTGGGAATGGGATCATTTCTTTAAAAAAATCACTAATTAAACAAATCATGGACCTTCCAATGCATAACACTCAAGATCCAATACAATGTATTCTACTTCACTGGAACTATTCCGTTTTTTTTGGTCATTAGATCTCCTTTCTGTGGTCTTTTTGTCCAATAAGGAAAAGCTAGCGTCACAATGTTTAACAGTTCAATTTAACAATTGCCTTCAAAGCATGATTAAAAAAATATATAACGATATACATATCAAAATAGCGTTTTGTTTTTACCAATACCATACTTAAATATACTAGGACCGTAGTTAAAATACATATTCATCTATTTCATATCTACTGGCTTTTTATTATAAATATACATATACATAATTCCCAACCATCCATCATCAACCTGTAAATTATTTTCATATTGGGTGTCGATAAGGCAGATCATACCTAGACCTAGTCTGCCTTTTTTAATTAATATTGAACCTTAACTACTTGCATTTAAGTTGAAACTACATTACTAAAGTTTATAGATCTCGTAGGAATATAAATATCTGGTTGACTTTGACCATTCTCATAGCAGCACAGACCCCTATCTTCAGGAATGGAGGGTACATATTTAATCTGAAACAAAGGTTGGTGATATGACACTCATTAGGAGTGTGATTTCTTGAGTCTCTTAAACTCAGAAGGGATGTGTGCCATATTTAGTTAAGATAAGGGTCAATTTGCTTTGCCTTTTAGATCTTCTGCTAGTATGATTGATTTGTATAGAAGAAGGCAACTTAGCTGTGTATATTTTTTATTATTTCTATTTATCTGGTGTATTTTGTCTCACTTAGGGTTAATTTTTCAATAGTCAGATTAATGTTATCTGAGGAATAAAACTGTTGCTGTAACTGTCTTATTCAAACATTCTGACATGACAACATCATAATTATTCCCCAGGTAATTTTTATCTAACCATTGAAAAATCAGCCATCAGTTAAATAGTGTGAAATATGGGATTTTCTAAATAGTATTGAAAAAAGACTCAAGTGTTAGTAGTAGTTTACTTCAAACTCATAATTGAGTAGTTTAATTAATCATTAAAGTGTCTCTAGAATACTCTAGATAATGACAGTGACTCTGTATGTATCTGTTCAACAAATAATACACTACAACGCTTCCCATGTAAGATTTTGAGCTGCTCAATATTTTATGGGCTTCTTACATGGCTTGAAACCATTCAAGTCAACCTGTCAAACTATTATTGATTAATCGAAAACTGAATTTAAAAGTTTATGTATATTTAAGCGGTTATGGTATTTTTTTATAAACATTTTATAGGAATATTTTTTATGTAAGAAGTATTTTTATTTTATTTCAAGCTTATTTTGTAAGGTAAGTGTGCCTGCTAAGATTTTTTTAGTTTTAATTGATCTAGACTAAAAACTATACTTGTCTGATAAGAAAGGTGAATATTTGTCAAAATTAAGTTCAATTATTTATTCTGTAAATCTATATTAATATTATAAAGAGCCTAGGTAAAATTTGTAAGTTTGTATGTAGGGGGTAATCTTTGGAACCGCTGGTCGGATTTCCAAAATTCTTTCACTATAGCATGATAGCATGGAATAGAAAAATTTTCTGTTCTGTGACTGATAGCTAGCTACAATGTTCCTGAGTGCTATATGTTATAAAACATCACGCTACGATTAAACGGAGCCGAGCAGCGGGTGAAACCGCGCGAGAGTAGCTAGTAATTTATAAAACCAAACCCTTTCGTCGTCTTCGTGGATTCATTTTTTACTTGTGTAATGTAATGTTGTATTTTGCCTTGGAATATTTTTTAAGGGATATATCGCGGCTATCGTACCAACTGATAACCTGATGGTAGGCAATTGACGTTGCCCACGGAAAGCATACTCTCATCTAACCAACACAATTGCGTTGCCGGCCTTTAACACATTCAGTGCCCCCGACGCGTATGTGCGTGCGAGGAAACGCACATACGCGTCGGGGGCACTGAATGTCAGGCGTCAGATATTCGATGAAGGGGGTATTTGGGGATTGGGGAATGGAGGATTAACCCACCCCTAACTCACAGAGGGATTGCAAACGTTGTTTATTACACGCAGATTCTCTGTGTGTTCAATTCGTGGCGAAGATTGGTTTTTATGTTATTCAGGCAGTGTTGTATTTACTTCATCATGATATGGTTTTATATCTAGATGTAAATAATAGGCTGAAAAACTTATCTATACCTATTTCCAGCCTAGATCAATTAAAACAATCTATGAACTCAAAAACGTGAAGAAAAATGCAAATAGCGTAGTTAATTTACTATATTATTTATAATTTTACATAATTCGGTAAAATGTTTTTTAGAATGATTTTAAAATTATTGAGATTTTGTTAATTCATACAAATTAAAAAATACCGTATTTTACTGTGAAAAGAATTGAATAGATAATAATTTTGATTTGAGATATTTATTTGAATACATAATTACATACAATAAATTATTATTTTTTGGTTCTAACAGTAGAATTCTTTTTTGTAAGGCCTCATGTATTAGAGAGCAAAATATAAGGCTCATTTTATACTGTTCGTCGAGGATGATCGATACTCGACTATTTTCAAGTCAAGACCGGGGCTCATACTCGCATACAACAACACTTGCATGGTTCTTGTAACTGGTAAAAAATAAATACTACTGAAATGGCCAATCAATATGAATTAAGTGCCTATCTGCAAATTCGCCTACAAACGTTTTTTTTTGACATTTTATGTGTCATCTTTTGTAAACAAACTACAGATAAGTAATCTATTTAAAACCGTCGTAAAACAAACTCTACAGTGTCAAGCAATATTCGATATTATTTCTACACACTTAAAAATCAGAATAAACAAAATCTCAATAATTTAAATTTATTTATTAAAAAACAATTTGAGGCGATTTTGATATTATCTGTTTAACAGTGCATATTAAATTCAGGCGCCTTAATTATTTACAAAGATACAATATTTAGGTAAAATGCGACAATACGATGGACATGATTAAAAATAAATAACTAGGCAATAAAAATATATATGTTTATAGGTGTTTTACATACCAACAACTAATAATAATTTATATAGACAAGACAGACCTTGCCTCTTTTTATTCCATTGTGATCTAGTCGAATCAAAATGCATATACATGAGTGGTTTTATAATATTCGACATTATTATTAAAAGTTTGTACATAATGAAAAAAAAATACATTCAGCGGGAACATTGGCCACCCAGGCGAAGCCGGGGACGGCCGTTAGTTTATTATGAAAAAGATTTTATTTTTATTTTATAATCAGTCGTTGGCACGAAAATACCCAGATAAGATTAAAGAATGATCGCTTCACTAAATTACAATTAATCATTTACAATTTTAATTGATTTGTTAATTAATTAAAAATAAAAAAACAGTAACCTTTTTATATTTCCTTTCTATTCTCTGCAACTAAGAATCAGATTTAAATTATAGTAAAAAAAAAGCTAAAACCGATTAAAATTGTAAACAATACAATTCAAAAGCGAGAAAATAAAAATAAAATGGAAACAGGGTAAAAACAATAATTTATTATGGATTTTCATGTATTACGATTTTAAATTCCTACAGTTTGAGTATCATAATTTCATATTTTTTCCATTACATACATATTTGCATACAAAACTCAGATTTTTCAAAAAAAAAACGGTCTTTAATTATTATAGAAAATTGTCTACTACACCATGCATGATCCTAACTAATTTATTCGCCGTCATTTTCGGGGACGACACTAGTCCTCGAAAATGATCGTCAACAATGTGTAAACGTCTGAAAAATTTACATAATCCATGGTTCATAATTAACAACTCTGAAGCTATGAAAGTTTATAAAATAACATATCATTTGTATCACAAAAAACTCAATCTCAACATAAACAATTCCATACTTAATTTCATCATAATAAATTACTTGCAAAAACTCTTTGACGGTAGTTTCTTAGTTAACTTTCAACTGGCTAATGGGTCTAACTCAAATACATTATTAAACTTTGGACAAAGGCCTGAGCTTATGAAAGTATAATCTGCTCAGTTACTTAGGTATAAAAGAAGAGAAAGAGATAGGGGAAGAAGAGAGACAGACATTGGCTACTGAACCAACCAATAATTACAAAAGGTACAGCTTCATTAAAAACCAACTACCACCCGGTTTCCGAAAGGCCGATCAATGTTAAAATCAATTTAATCTCTTGTCAAGTCATCTGATTGGTTGACTGAATTATCAACAACCAATCAGATGACTTGAGAAGAGATTTGACACCTAGTTAGTTGATTTTAACATTGATCCGGCTTTCGGAAACCGGGCATTAGTTTAACAATAACTACTATCTCTGTACCTTGTTAATCTTCATTTCCTTTACCTCCTTACCAAATAACAGCGCAGTATGCGTACCGTGTAATGTTAAAGCGTGAATTTTCCGGGCGAGAAGGAGAGATGGCGCTATAAAGGGTGTATAGCTCCATCCCTCTTTCTCGGCCGTAGGATTCTCCCATTAACGCATCCAGTGCCCCCGACGCGTATGTGCGTTTCCTTACGCTACTCTGTGTGCCCTCGACGCACCTGTGCGTTCTATACATTAATGTATAGAACGCACAGGTGCGTCGTTAGCGTAAGGAAACGCACATACGCGTCGGGGGCACTGGATGCGTTAACACGTCATCGTAGGCCCTCTAATTATTACAAATTTTCCCCATACACTAATGTAGTAGACAATTTCGTCTATTAGGTAAATAGATATAGTAATTCTAACGTGAAAATCAGCTCCCTTCGACGATGGAATCGTCAGACCGCTCCGAGCTCATGCAGTCACCTTTTGGAGCCACCTTAGACGGCTTCGCTGTCTTTCCTACAAATATTTCCACCTCCTGAAATAGGGAAAAGAGATTTTAAAACCCACTGCTTTTGAGTGCTAATATTATAAAGAGGTAAAATTCTTATGTAGGGGGCAATCTTTAGAACCGCATGTTGGATTGCCAAAATTCTTTCACTGATAGATAGCTACCATGTTTCCGAGTGCTATAGGCTATAAAACATCACGCTACATCAAATGGAGCCGAGCAGCGGGAGAAACCGCGCGTAGCTAGTAAATAATATATTATAATGAAATGGAAGAGAAAAAATATAACGTTAACGGCCAAGTAGATCACCAGTACTACGGTACTACGATACGTACTACGGTAACGGACGATTTGCCTTCAATATTTCCATGACTGCAAAGGCAAGGTCGTTTTGTCCTATTATCTATCTGGGTAACATACTATTTTATGTAGCAAACTTTCTTATTCAATTTGTTCATATCTCGACGAAAGAGCTTGAGTAGTTTTAGCGTTTCGAAATCATGAGTACCATACAAAGTGGCCAATAATATAACAGATATTATCTAAAGGTCATTGTGCAATATTCATCATTTAGTACTGTAGCTACCTCTTTTTTTCTCATCGTTCATAACAGATCTTAATCTTTGATTTTGCATTCAAATCTATATTTTACAGGACAAGCTCATACCTTCCGAAACTACTGCACTGCCTAGATGCTAGGTTCTACAGCGAAAACAAAGATTAAGTGTGGAAGCCAAATTTCGGCACGAGTGGGTCGGCTCGACCGGAAATACCACGGCCTCAGAAAACCGGTAGGAAACAACCACAGCGTTGTTTTGAGGGAGCGAGGTTACTGGTAACCCAATCCCTCCCCCTCCCCTATCCTTACATATCCGCAACCCTTATCCCGAAACGGCCAGAAACATACTCGTAACTCCTTTGGTGTTGCGGGTGTCCATGGGCGGCGCTGATTGCTTACCATCAGATAATCCGCCTGCTCGTTTGCCAACCTACTCCAAAAAAGTCTGGGACTTTTTATGATGATAGGGGTCGTTGTATTTCATGATCACTACGCACCTGACTGCCTTCAATCCCCATATCGCTGTGCACCTCATGGCTGGTCCCTGGCGCGGCGGCTCGCTGCGCCATCTGTCTCTCGCGGGCTACGCGTCTGCAAATATAACATTAAAATTATAATTAGGTATCTGACCTGTTGTATGTCTGTTCTTGAAGACATTGGGACCGTTTATATTAGTGGTACTGGTAGGTCTGGGTAGAGTAATCGTCGCCAGGCGTTGCGGTTTGCGGATTATGTAGGGAATTTATTACAGATCATTTCCGGGTAGGAGGGCTCCCCGAGTACGATGGTGCAATGACACATTGGGTTAGGTATGAATATGTATTGGCATATTATAATTGTAACTTTTAAGCAACCTTGACATCTTCATTATTATCATTAGTCGATAAGTGTCCACTGCTAAGCATAGGAAAGAGGCCTGACCCAGAGGAAGGATTGGAGACTTAAAATTTATAAGTCCATAACCCTTCACGATAATACGGTAGTTTCCAACTAGTCAAATTCAATACTTTTATCGAAATGTCAAAAACGACACTTTTCTATGAAATTTGTATGAAATACTGAGGTATGACGTCATAGTATTTTCACGTCAAATAGCTTACTTATTTCTTAAAAATTAGGTAAAAATATCTAAAATTTTGTATATCAATCGATCAATGAATGAAAGTGTAGTTATTTTTAATTTTTTATTATTATTTTGAAACGTCGAATTAATTTATTTTTAACCTAGGTAACTACCCAATTTCCTTCACCATTTTATTCATATAAGAAAATAGTCTTTGACAGGATCGTTAAAAAACCGAGTCTGAAATTGTAAGGCACATGCAAATAAGTCTTTTCAAAAATATAGTATTATATAAATATACCATGATATCTGTGTTTTGTATTCGGACAAAATTATTACCAGAGATTTGAAAGGTTGTTATCTACATGCCCGGGGACAAGTATATTGCATTTCGATTGGAATGGGGATAAAAATAAGCATCTTACTTTTATCGAGATCCAATTTAAGAATGCTATTAACAAATTAAAATTAAAAATAAAATTTTTGTTTTAGGTAGAGAGCTTGTAAATGGCCAGCTAGATAATACTTATGAGTATGTTTGTAGAATGTCTATTTTTTTTTTGTCAGGCGAATGTCATCAGAATCTTACTGACTAAAAACCCCCCTGTTCCTTTTCCTGCTCTGGGCCGAGGTCGCGGTGCCTCATTGCGCTTACCCCGCAATCCCGGCTGAACATCAGCCCTCTATATCATCAGCCCCCCGTCTGTGGTGGTCTATTGGCTCTTTGAGCCGCGCGCGGAACGCTACGCGCCGTACGCTCGGGTCTGGTTCTGGTCGGGGGGCGAGCTACCCTTACTCGCCGTCCGCAGACCCGCGCTTATGGTGGCCGGAGATCATCTCTCGTGTGGAATGTCTATTAAGGTGCGCGTCTAGGTGAAGGTTATGGGCTCACGGTAATAATGGCCCAATCAAACAGCGGACGCGTTGGGCATCCAGAGCCCATATATTTTTATTGATAAACAATTAACGTCGCCATTATAGACAATATGCAAGCGTTGTATGTATCACGGTACTTTTTTAGCGTGATATTCGGTCCAGCCGAAATGGCCTATTGGCGCCGACGGCCGAAGTATGGCTCCATGTGAAAAAATAATTTAGAGTCGGACTCTCTCGCAAATGAAATGTTTCGTAACAAAATATTATGATAGACTTAGATGAGATATTTGTTGATACAGCGGCACCAAAAATACATCATCTGTTCAAATTTCAACTGTTTAGCGTGATAGGTATTCATGAAATCCTACCTAGTGATAGACAAACGGACGCACAGCAAAACTTATACAATTAGGAACCCTAGTAGTTCCTAATTATAACTTTTGGATGCCCTAAAACCCTACAATGACAAGTATTCTCACCTCCTATGCTCCAGCATAGCTTTCCTATCAGCTTCCCTCTTTTCTGCAGCAAGGCGCGCTTTCTCGTTTTTGACGACAGGCGTAGCGCGGGAACGACGCGGCGGCGACGCCACTGGGGTGGACGGGGTCGGCTTCGTGGGGGCTGTTATCTGAAATATTTCAAAGTTTTGGTTATTTTTGGGTTTTTTTATGCGTTGCTAGGTGTTGTCAGGCTCGTCAGCTCGTGTCACACGCACAGGCAACTTAAGACTTTAAATAGCTATTATATATTAAAGTTATTTTCTTTTTATATTTAACTTTATCTGAATAAATATTAGTGTTACACTGTTCTCACATAATTGAACCAACTGTTTGTAAAAGGAATCTGTATGTGAAACTGATTTAAAAAGAGTAACCATGGAGTTTCTTGCTCGTTCTTCTCCATCGGAATCTACACTTTGGAACACTATACCAGATAGCTTCACTAACTAGGACTGAACGACAGACTGACACTTAATATCTTTAAAATTTTGTTTGACGTTCAAAAGTGCCTGTAAGGGTCTAATTCTCTAATTGAAATAAATGATTTTTGTCATTTTTTATAGAATATTTTGTAATTAGAATGTTTTTATTAATTTCAAAATGACACTAAAATAATTTTTAGGCGTATTACGGAGAAATTAACTAAATAGCTTTTTGAATCGATCATCAAATGACTTTTCCTGCTCTAATTGACGCGAGAGGAAGTGTCAGACTCTTACTGACTAAAAATCGCTCCTTCTCCTGCTCTGGCCGAGGCCGCATTGCGTTTACCCCGCAACCCCAGCTTTAATAAGTAATTTTGGCAAATAAAATCACAAAGGCACAAAAAATATACCTACATAACAACGCAAACGTTGCATCACGCCAGTATTCAGTGAAGGGAATGCCACGGTTCTACTAGAGTCTAGTAGAACCGTGGCATTTTTAAATGGTCTAGTAACAAGACCATTTAAAAACGTGTTAAAATGTTATGGTAACTAACCTCCTGCCAATTATTAGCTTTGAGCTCAGCGATCTGCTTGTACAACGCGTCTACATTGGCAACCTGCAGACACACCATGTCCCAGAAGCCTTGAAGATCCTCAACCGTCGTGGGGAAGGGCTCATCCTGCCGCTCGTTGATATTGTTATAGCATAGACCTGGAATTATATTGAGAAAAGTTAATAATACAAGGAAAAAATACGTATCTGGACAAAGTGCATTGTTGGAAAGGTCGTCAAATGAGAAGCAGTTTTAGGTGTTAAGGAATTGAAGATTGGTGATGGGAGGAGAGAAAGGATTGGGCCCCCGGGACCTCATTTACATAGAGAAACTTAAAGCAAGTTGTTTCTCGCAGGTATACTTTTAAATTCAATTGATTCCCTAATAAATAGTATAGTTCAATAGATATAATTCCAAATGGATACTATGTCCTGTTGTCATAAATTATGTCATGCCAAAAATTGACTGCACGGTTGGCGCGGTGGCTGGGCAACTGGCTGCCGCGCAACGTGTCGCGGGTTCGATTCCCGCACGGAACAACTCTTTGTGTGATCCACAGATTGTTGTTCCGGGTCTGGGTGTGATGTGTAACATGTGATATTGTATGTTTGTAAACGCACCCACGACACAGGAGAAAATACTAATGTGGGGCAACGTTAAAAAAAACAATTCAGGTGTTGCATTAGTGGTTGTCTTAGTGGTTTTTGGTTGCTATTTAAAATGATAATCCTGTGTTTACTGTTAATATGATAAATAAAAAAACCTAAATCAACAATGACCTGTTCATTTTTACTACTACCAAAACAATAAAGTTATATATACCTTCAAACTGCTGCATTTTCTGTGTGGCTAGCAGCCTGGCCTTGCCTGAAGCAGCGCGCAGGAAGCCCAACACCTCCTCACTCACATCCTCACGACTCTGGAACATTTACAACAAAATAATTAGTCGTTAAATACAAATCATCCTGGACCATGATTACATAGCAAACACGAAAATTTCCCTAGGTTGGGAAAAAATATTTATTTGTTTTTAAAGTATCTGTTAACAGCCGCTAGATTGCACCAAAAACAAAAAATACCTATTTTAAACTATTAGTACGGAATGTTTCGAGTGCAAACTGTTGTCATTCCAAAAAAATTTACACCAAGCTTTGTTATTCCGTAACTGATGACAAATATATTGGTAATCTTCTTATAAATAAAAATGGATCGATGTGTTGGTAAGCGCATAACTCAATAACGCTTGGACCAATTTTGCCATTTCTTTTTTGTTGTGTTTCTTATTGTCAGAAAAGGTTCTTATCAAAGAAAATATTAGAAAAGTACGAAGAAGTGACATTTTTTAGCAAGATAGTTGGACCCGTGCGAAGCAGGGGCGGGCCGCTAGTTATTCAATATTTTTAAATTCATGATAATTATATTCATGATGACTATCAAAGAAGATGATAATCTTGTTATTTCGACTATGATAAACAACTATACACTATATTAAATTTGTTTATGCCGTAGGTCGGCAAACGAGCAGACAGATTACTTGATAGCATCAATGGTATTCAATCGGCGCCGCGCAATCTACACACACACCTAAGGAGATCCAAGTACGATGCCGATCTTTTGTAAGCTGTTATTTATTTGAGGATTTGGAGATTGAAAATGAGGAGGAGGAGAGAAGAAATTGAAGACTGAGAAAGGCAAGGGATTGAGAATCAGGAAGGGTAACCGATAAACGCGGTTGATATTCCGCAATGGGAAAAATATTAATTTCAATTATTTAGGAATAGGTCTATCTAATATCTGTTTGATCATACACAATTATGACTTGAAGCGACTTAGACAGACATAATCTACACTTCATTTCTATTAAACACCTGCGAAAAGCAAAGGTTGTCTGGAAGAAATCGCCTTGTGTGATAAAACCCATTGTAATTACAAAATTCTTTCATAGTATCCAATGTATTGCTTCTTAGTGTATGTATGCAATAAAGTATTACTTATAAATAAACTCGATTTTGCCCGCGACTTCGTTCGCGTGGAATAGATTCCTGCAAATTTTTGGTATAAAAACTATCCTAAGTCCTTTCTGGAGTTCCAAACTATATCTGTACCAAATATCACAGAAATCGGTTCAGTAGTTTAGGCGTGAAGAAAAGACAGACAGAGTTTCTTTCACATTTATTAAAATTAGTTTGAATGAATAAATGCAATGCAATCGTGGAAAAACGTATCTATTTAACATACCTATTATGAATATTAAAATTAGGTATATTATTGAATTATGACTAATTTGGTACATTTTAAGGTCATTTATAATTAAATTCACAATCCTTGAATATGATTGACCAATGTCACACATTTTTATTACTATGTAAAATTGGCTACTTCGACAAATATTTAGTCAAATCCAATACATTTTCGAATTGTCAGAATCAGGAATTATCTGTGGATAATGATAGTGACGTTATGTTTTTTGGCATATTTATTTCTTCTTTTTTCAAATGGCATACTTATTTCCCGACAATTACCTGAAGTAGCAAGGATTGACCTTCCGGTAACCTCACTCACACAGTGAATACATAGCCCTAGCCCCAAACAGGACAAGGAAAGTGGTGGTAGTTTTTAGTCAGTGACATGCCACTCCCTCTCGCCTTACCCAGGGTGGGAGAAGGCATTTGCTAATTTTCCGGAAAATATTTTAAGATGGGTCTCCAACACAACATGACTGTTGCATTTAATAGAAGCATTTCTGCTAAACCAGTCACGGAATGAAAGGGACATGACGTCATAAAGTCGAAGTTAAATACGGACTCCACAATACATTAGTTTAGACTAAGGATATTACATCACCCTTCATTGTTTTTGGGGAATGCAGTGACATACACGCTTTGTTTGTTAAAGGGACAATGCAAAACATTGGTGAACATAAGAATCGAGTATACAGCGGTGCGCTCTTAAAAATAGTTAATTTTCTCAGTTTTTTTTTGCTGTAAACGAGCAGGATCGCTTGATGGTAAGCAATCACACCGTCTATAGACGGTCCATAATACTCGTGAAGTCACAAGTGGGATGTTACATTTTAGGGATTCGGAATTTAGACTAACTTTTAAACTTTCGCGTTTCATTAAGTAATAACATATATTTAAGCAGGTATTAACGCGGAAAATTATTATTTGAATACCTTGGTAGGCTTGGCGTTTCGACCCGGTTGCACGGGTCATGGTCACAAGCAGACTTTAGAATTCAAAATTTAGAGTTGCGGCCGACTGGAGCAGGAAAAGAATTGGGGTGGTTTTAAAGGAGTAAGACTCCGACACTACCTTTCGTAGTGGCGTGGGAAAAGTAAATTAGATTTTCGTCCGTCAAAAAAATGGGTGAATTAAAATCACTCAGTGATTGTGTTATTTATTTGCATTGTGAACATACATTAGAAGCAAAAACGATTTTTGTTAACGTCGCATTCTAAGGTTTACATTAATTTTAAAGTCCTTATTATAGACACAAAAACTTCAGACAGACAAAAAATCTATAAAGGCTAGGCTAAGGCTATTCCTTTGATTTACCTTTGTATTCAAAATACACGTTAGGGTTGCCAGTACTTTTAAAATTTATAATGTAAAGATAGGTAATTGATATTTAATAGTTTTTTTTTTCAGTCGAGCCATCCCAAGTGCTTCTGCTAGGTATCGCGTTCGATTAACATATAATAAATACTCTTTTAAAAAGACCGGAAGAGGCAATTTTAAGTCTCCATACAATCGTAAAATCACTCAGTACTGTTCGATAAAAAACTATTTTGAAAATGTACTTGATTAAGTTGTCAGACTGACATATTGCGTATGACTACCAAGTTTCATCAAAATCAGTAGTTTCGTTTTGTAGATTTTGGTCTCGGAAGTTTGTACGGAAACCCTCGCTACGCTCCTTATCATGCAAAATGTTTTTGGACAACCCTAACCAAACAAAAACTAGTTTTATTATTATTAGCCTATATGATGCCGGTATTTAATTGTAAATGAAACTATAACAATTAGGTACGCCTTAAACAGTCAAGGTCAAAGGGAAATCAATCTGCATTCTTTAATCTGAGAGAAGGATATTAAAATGGGTTTTGTCTCTTTAAGGATTGCATATAGGAGGTAAAGATCAAATATTTGAATGGTTTTGTGTGACAAAGATTTAGTTTTCATTGTCATATCAAAACTAAGATATTTTTGGTATTGACCTGCATATTTTAAAGTGAGGCTCCACACTAAGATTTGCCTTTGCGTGTGATTTTAGGAACTGCATAGTTAGGATTATCAGCTGCGAAGGTTAACTGCCGGTTTCCGAAAGGCCGATCAATTTTAAAATCAATTTAATCTCTTGTTAAGTCATCTGATTGGTAGACTGAATTATCAACAATCAATCAGATGACTTGACAAAAAATTTAACAGGAGATTAGAAAATTTTAGAGTTGACAAGCCTTTCAGAAACCGCGTGTAAGTGTTTCAGGATGAATTTCTGGGTCGGATCAAATGATGAAGGTGGTTTTGTGCCTTGAAAAATGCGTTAAGCCGTCAGTCTCAGTTGACGGTCTAAGTGCCGACTTTAATACTGGTTGGAAAAAGGTCAGTAGAAAACTTTTAAGAAATAATAAAGTAATTACGACATTGTTATCTCACCTGTAAATCCTCCAATTCCTTTTCAGCGGTAGCGGCGAGCGCCAGCAACCTCTCAGTCTCCTTCTTCTCCAAATTCAAGAAATAATGAGCGTCCTTCACAACTTCTTTCACACCATTCGATTCACCATTTACACTACATATCACCGGCTCACTAACTTCACTGTCTAGTTTTATCACAGAAATACCGTTCGTAACCGACACTGCACTTTTATCCTCAACTGTATCAGTCTTTTCCACTTTAGGAATGTCTTCTTCAATCTTCTGCGGAGACAGGTCGCTTTTCACACACTTCTTTGGTGACAGAATAGGCAGCTGAGCTCGGAACTCAGGCCTCAAATGCCTCAAAACTGGTAGAGACACGTCCAATTCTCCGTTTGGACTCGTGCAGACGCTGTCTTTTTCTGCTTCTTCCACCTTTCTGGGCAGCCTTTCTGGAGTGTTCAAAGACTTTTCGGTCAACACTTTAGGCTCATCATCTTCGCTTGAACTTTTCAGTTTGTGACGCTTCTGGTTAAAGAAACCTTGAGCTAAGGCGCCAGGCCCGTACAGCCTCTCAACCCGCTGCTGGATAAAACTCTTCATAGGACTCGTGAGCTGTTCCCCATTCTCTTTTGTAATCTCCACCCGTTTAGAAACTCCATTCGAAGAAATCGTGTACGATTCAGAAGTGAACCTTGTTTCTTTACCGTTAGAGGTGACAGTCTTCCGGAAATTCGTCTCCGAATAGCTGGATTTGAATGTGATCTCCTTAGCATTGTCTACTTCATCGGTTTTGTGGAGCATTGAGGTGGCAAAGTTCTTGCTTTCACTCGATATGTAAGGCCGACTGGTGGTAGTCATGTTGCCTAGGAAGTCGTTCTTCAACTGCTTATTTTCGGCAGCCATGTAGACATTAAAAGGTGATGTGGCTAGGTAAGGATCTGTGTGCGCCTTAGTAGGCGCTTTGTGTGTCAAATCGGCGCGCGTATCATGAGGCCCGAATGTGGGGACCAACAGTTTATTAGCACTGACAGGAACAGGGACGAGTAACGAGTTATTTTCGCTTCTGTATTGGTAGGTGTGTGTGATTGGTCTTATGGGAGATGCCTCGCGGCTTTTGTTGATATCCTGCCTCAGTTTTGAGTCATAAGTGGTGAGGTTCGTGTACCCATTGACAGAACAGGCTAGGTTTAGATAACTAGGCTTCTTATGGGGTAGTTCGTCTCGTTTCTTGTGATGTCCTCTCGATCTATGACTTGAGGTGTCGACATATACTTTTGGGGGAGGTTTCAAGAGATTCTCAGATTTTCTGGGTGTTGGGGTGGTGTCCTCTGGGGTCCGGACGGGGGTTGCGACGGGTGTAGGGCTGGCTAGGTAATTCGGCTGTAGATTGGAGCCTGCCCGCTCTTGCAACCGAGAGGTGAAGTCTCGGATCCGACTTGTGGTGGAAGACGGTGTTAGGAGATTCAAACTTCCTGATGTGGTATCTGAAATTAAGAAATTATTATTACTTCATAGTTTAAAAAAAAATCAAATAGCTTTAAAGAAGTTTTGTACATTGGAGCTACATTTTTGTGATAACATTTTGTTATAATTATTGACAGAACAGCATGACCCTATAGATTTCGATAGCATACATTATAATATAAATATTTCATAAGAAACAAAATAATCCATAGATAAGCTGGCATTGAAAGGCTGAATATAATCTTTTATTAAAATCAGTAATGAGTTTTTAAAGTGCATTGCAACTTATAAACACCAGATTTCAAATAGGTGTCCATCAATAAATACAATATTTGCGTGATATAATTACATACGAAAGTTTGGTAGGTTTAAAAATCGTATACAGACCTACAGACATACAGGACACAATGTCAAGGCTTATACCCCAGAAGGGGTAGTTCAAGGTCCATAAGGTAGACAATGAAACCTTATTGTCATCAAACCTTTTTTATTTTTGAGTGCTATGCTCCTACAAGATTAAAAGTAGAATAACTACTAACAAAATCTTTTTTACAAATAAAAACACTAGCACCTACATGAATAACAAAAACTACCTTTTAGAAACCAAAAATGCAAATCACATTTAGAAATAACACAAAAACAAAACACAACACAAATCCGAAATTAAAGGTAAAAACCACAGATAATCTACAGATTAGACACACAAAAATCAAGAAACATGCAACCAGAACAGAGTTACAAGCACAAAATTTTCTCATCAACTCACAAGCACTAAAAAGGAGGTAGTAATCACACATTTTCTAATTAAAAAACTACATTAAATTAAAAAAAATAGCTTCAAATGAAAGAGAGAATTACCGTACAGCATGTTGGGTATCTTATCAAAAAGATTTGATTATTTGTATGTGTTATGGCGATGATGTAAGTGATAAAGTTTGTGTGTGTGTGCATTCAAAGTATGATAGATATGTTTGATAGATCAGTGGGGTAGATTAGGGCTTTCAAAACAATCGGTTTGTGAAGTGCTTGGTTCTCTATCATGTATGGTATTTGACGTGACCTACATAAATATCTGTTGCGAAAATAAAGTCATAAGTTTGAACGCACAGCCGGGGTTGCGGGGTACGCGCAATGAGGCAACGCGACCTGCCCAGCGCAGGAGAAGGAACAGGGGGTTTTTAGTCAGTAAGAGTCTGACACTGCCTCCCGCCCGGCCCTGGGCGGGAGAAGCCATTTGAAAATTAATTGATGATTGTGCCCTCACAAAAAAAAAGTTTGAATGCAACTCTTGGGCTCTGTATTAGATGACCAAAACATATTTTTCAGTTCATTTTTGCAGTCTGTAAGGGTAAAATACTTAAATCTTTTTCTATTTCATTTTATTTTGTAGATTAAAACCAATAAAGCTAAAAAAACTATACCTATTAAGACCATTAAAAGGTAGTTTTGTAGGTCAACCAAAAATATAAAAAGTTTTAAATTTTGGAGAAGAACAAGCAAACAACTCCATGGTTACTTAGTTTGAATAAATTTCGCAATCAAATTCTTTTTTAAATTACTAACTTAGCTCAATTATGTAAGAACTGTGTATATCCTAGAAACATGAGTAAATCTAAAAAAATTCATAATCTCAAATATCAACCACATGTAAAATCTAACACTAACTCTAAGACAAATCAATTGCCTGAAACTAAGCGCTGTGGCAATCACAACCATCTAAATAAACTTGACCAGTCCAAGAAACCGCCTACACATGAGTCATATGTCAATGTAATACATACACTTACTATTTCTCTGTTTATTTATTTCTCAAGTCATTGCATTAAAATTTGCATACATATTTTGTAATATAGTTGTGTCATAAGGTTTGAGGATGGTTCTAGTATTCTGTGAGCTTATATTCTATAAGTGATTGGTTAGAACTTAGTTGAATGATTTTAAAAAAATATATTTATAAAATGCTTGATAAATAAATAATACTTATAGTAGCAAGCCTTAAATTTCTAAAGCCACACTTTTGACTACTTCCAAATACCAGGTACAGCTCCAAACTATATTCCATTATTGAGACGGGAATATCATCCAATAATTTCTCTTGCACAGGGTGAGGCGAGGAAGAGTGTCAGACACTGAAACAACACACACTGAACACAACCCCCGGCTGAATCTAACAAAAGACTTATGATAGGCTATCTGACTTGACTACTAGCTGGCCAGTCACTACAGCTAGCACTCAACCAAATAGGCAGTTTATCAATTTACCATTTGCTAATAAATTGCAAATATGAATGTCAAACTAATAAAAAGGTGACAAGATGACTTTGAAAAGAGAATGGGTGCTAATGTTACTATGCTAAAAGGCATTGTTGTGGAACTCAAGAGATAATAGAATAAAGAGCCTTATAGTTTGCTGAGAAATAATGACAGGTAGAGTCATAGTAAGTTTTAAAGAAGATTTTAAACTGGGATAGATCCTCCACAAACTCCTAAGCTGCTAAAACTCTTATAAGCCAGGATCTATAGTAGATACAATCATGAAAACACCAAAACTGAGGTCCAGTACACCCCATGGACAGAAGTGTTTTGGATCTCACAACGAAAATCAGAAAATGAGAAGAAGAAAATTGAAATAGTTTCCACTTCAACATTAAAACCTACTTTACACCAGTTGAGTTATGAAGCCTATGTAATAAGAGGTACCACACAACTGGCACAATTCTGTACTGAACTATCTATTACTAAGACATCACAAAACCTCAAGGAACTGATGGATTACCTGATGGTAGGCAACAGTGAGGCCCAAGGACACACCAAAGGAGTCAAAAGACCCCAAATCAAAGAACAGTTACATATGACAATCGGTATAATATGACCATGTTTCTACATGTTTTGTCCAAACTTTAACCAATATATTATTATTATGATATAATAAATGTACATATATTTACAAATAGCTTTATCATGTTTTCCTTAAATAAATTGTTTTAAAAATTGATATTGTATGGTATTTAACAAATATCTGGGCTGCTCTAGCCATGATTGCAGAAGAACAATGATTTTTTGCATCCTGACTTGGAGCAAGAGATGAAATAGGGTAGCTAAATATGTAAGTAAGAGTCTGACACTCTCCTGGGCCTCATCCAAAACCAAAAGGTATAAAGTTGACAAAGAACCTACTTAACATCTGTATTTTATAGTATATACTATAATTTGTAATTTATAATTTTAAGTGTTCTTATTAGAATATTTTCTTGTCATTCACATATTCAGAACTCAACTCTTTTCTTTTAAATAATATGATCAAAATTGACTTTAACTTTGTTTAACAAGTATTGAAGAATATTAACATTAAATGTCTGCATTAAATTAATAATATTTATAGGTAATTACAATGTTGATAGGTAGAAATTACCTTTCTTATTTAGTATCTCCTCTCCTTTATTAATCAGAGGAAATAATCTGGCATATTCAAATCTGTCCGGAGATACATGTTTTTTTGTACCAAATAGAATCATTAAGGATATCAAACTATAAATATAATAAATTAGTCAAATATTCCAAAACCATTAAAACTTCTTAGTGAACCTAAAATCTGATTTAAAAAAGGTGTATCTTGCACTATGGTTTCTTAGTGTTCAATGAAATTGTGGTTATTGATCTCATTAAATAACATTCTTTGTTCATGTTTAATCAATTATCAAGCCAGTACTACAGCTAATAAAGTGCTGATAATCTAGAATAGTGTTGTTAAAACAATATATGCACTGTGGATGCAAGATAATATTGACATGAGATTAACTTGTATCTTTTAAGCATTATTAACAATTTTTAATATTATTTTGATATTATCAAGAGATGTAAATTAGTATCTTATGTAATATAATACGAATAAAAAAAAATATAACACGTATAAACGGCGTTAAGCAAAAGAAAGAAGTCATGCAAAGCAATGTGAGTGAATAATTTTACCAAGAACTAATAAAAATAATCGTATTAGTCATCTACCTTTAGTCAATAGTAAAATTATACTACGTCATGCTTTTTCTCACGATTTCTACACAATTTTCAATTAATTCTAATTTATCGCTTATTTAACTTCTTCCACAAAAAGTACGGTAAAGGTAATACTTTTGAAATCCTTTTTGACATTGAAAACCGGCTCAAAACACTTACCGATCGCTTTCAACACACATAAACTTTATTACACAACATTAACAATGATAAAATAATATTTTTTTAGCAATTATTTTCTGAACACCTCAAATAATTTTTCACTAAAACTATTTTATGACATCAACCATCAGTTCACAAAGAAATGTCACCGTTTTTTATTTTTTTTTCACCGTGTCGACGACGCACACCCGTTTGCGGCCAGTCCGCACCGTTTCGTTTCACGGTCGGCGAGTTTTGGATTCGTAATTCTCAGACTGTTCATAGAATATAGCAAGATGTTGAATTTTACGAAATAATTTTATCTCAACTCAGGTGGTTTAGGTACCTACGTGTGTAGTCATAAGCAATATGACGGCAATGACCGAGCTGTAACTTGTGCGTGGGCAGAAACGAGGTCGATACATAGATTATCCATATGTGTATGTGTATCCGATTGTCTTTTTGTTTGTGAGTTTGCATTTTGCAATATGCATTGTTTGCAATATCTATGCACGACCTAGATTTATAGATTTTTATAAACGTAAAGTAGGTATTTTAAGTTTGATTTGGTTATTATTAGTGTCAATTTAAATGAAATGAATAAAAATCCCGTAGGTAGGTATTTATGCGAAATACTTCCGCCTTTAATATGCAATGATTTATTAGATGTCATCTTGTTTGATGACTATGGCGATACGTAATAACTTCATTAATGTTTATTAATTGAATTGACCGATATTGTGCTTAGATTGCCGACCTTAACATACATACTTAATGCAATTTTTAACAATTATGACTAAAGGCATGACGAAATTTGCGCACAATGACATTGTTTACGTTCGGTTTCACACAAAAGTTTTAAGTTTCAACACATTTACACGATTCTAATACAAACACAGTGTAGCTAAAAATAAAATGCACTCCATAGTGATTTATGAGCCGAAGACAACTAAACGTATACAAGAGAGCCGTCAGAGTATGTCGTGGAGGAGCGAAAACAGACACCTACCGTAAGGGCCACAATTTATTCCTTACTACTGAGAATAAGCAATCAGATTCCATATGACATGCTATAGGTAGAACTAGGAATCATGAACAGTATCTACAAGAAATGAAAGAGTAGTAATTGAAATGATAGAAAAAAAATTAAAACCACACTTTACAGAAAGGAAAAAAAGAAAACACAGATTACAGATAACAGTGAATACATTTATTGTGAAAAAATTATAGAACTACAGTAATAGCCAAAGAGTTTATTTAAAAAAATAAATTAATCTATTTATATATTTTTATAGTGCAACAAAAAACATATCAGGCAGGTAAAAGTAGACAGTACGGTAGATAACAGGAAAATAGGTATCTTTTTAAATAAACTCTTTTGAAATTAATATCTAATAAGTTGAAAATGAATTGTAAATTATCATTCACAGACCACAATCACGCATGCTAATAAATTACAATAGATGGATTCAGAAAAAAAACAATTTGACAGATCTTTTTTTTTCTGAATCCGAAATCATGTCAAAGTAACTACATACCTACAATAACTATAATATAGAAAAAAAAAGCCAAAAACACATTTACAACACTTATTTACCTGAAAAGTCTGTACTAGCATCGACATCTAGGGAACAACTGCCAATAGAATCCACTGACTTATCCATAACTTTCACTGTTAAATCTTTGGCTATTTTAACTAAATCAGACTCTTTAACTTCAATTTCATAGGCTCCTATACTATCAAAGTCTTCGACATGCGATTTGGGAGACACCGTCGAACTTGGCAGTCTTATATCCGTCTCATCAGTGTTTATTGTCAGAATGGAGTCAGGTTTTAGTTCTTCAGGAGCGTTTTTGTCTAAAATCAGTGTGCTCTGACTTGTGAAAGTACTGCGAATGGGTTCAATGTATTCCACGTCCTCGTCAAGAAACAAATGATTAGTATGCCCGCTCGGACCTTGCAAATTGGTTGCGTCTTTAGGGACCGCGTCTATCACTGTCTGGGTCTTATGAATATTCTTATAATAATGATTTTCTAGCTTTTCTAACTGTCTCCTTGTGTCCGATTGCTTTTTCCTCACCGAGTCAATTATAACCGGCAGATTTAGGAGATCTGGAGTCTTTTCTTCGTTGTTATCTCGTTTGAAAAGTGGAGAGTCATCACTCTCAAGCTCGAAACGCTTGTACTTTGATGAGCAATAATCGTCTATGGACGACGTATCAGACTTTTTGGAGTCGAAAAATGTGTCCAGTGAAAAAAACGATTTTCGTTTTTTCTTTGGTTGGGAGGCTTTGCTAAAATTTGGGGCAACAAAAGGCTCTGCAGCTTTATATTGCACGCAAATGTTGCTCGTGTTCACCAAAGATTTAGGTCGGTTTTCCTTTGGAAGGTTTACGGCAACGCGATTAATCTCAACCTTTCTGGAATCCAAGCTCAAGGTCTTTCGGAACCTCTCGTTAAGGTTGGCTAGTAGGAAATGTCTCCTTTCCGTCGATTTTGGCGTGACATTGTAGCTTTGTTTGCTGCTGGAAGGTTGAGAATGGGGAATGTGTTCTGTGTACTTGAATTCGATGTCGTTCTCAGAAAAGTCTTTGGGTTGTTCGTAGTGTTGGGTCCCTGGTTCTGGTCTTTGGAAGGAGAAAGACCCTCGGGTGGAACTTTCTTTCCTGTCACAAACGCAGCTTCCCACACAGTTTAACTTCATACATCTCTCCTCTGGTTCAAGGGAGACTTCGTGGTCATTGGGAATGTAAGTATCAGGTTTACTTTTGTGTATTAGGAGGTCCTGTCTGATCTTTTCCAGTCTTTCGTCTCCATGAAGACCTCTGGTGTACTTTGACCTTAAGGGTCTGAAGAACCTTATGGATCCTGATGTGTGTGGTTCGATGGATCTTCTTCGGACAAACGATGGTGAGTCAGAGATCTTGTTCACGCCTAAGAGTAGGACAGGCGATTTCTTGTCCTCCTCATCTGGTAAATCGCTGTAAAGAAAAGAAGATGGTTAGATCGTTTCAGTAGTGTTTCTTTGAGATCCCATTTTCCCACATGGTTTTAAAAGCGCCTTTTATACATGAAGAATCTCTTCCATTTAATTGCTTGGATAAGGGCATTACCAATGATATTATAAGTAAAAAGGTGTAGATAGGTTACAAGTGCACAGTAAATGATAAATTAAAATGTGGCTAACTAGCCACACTTTTACATGTTTGTCTCTTTTTCACTCGCGATTTTTAAATCATGCCATCCCACTTTAACGTGTATCATACGATTTATTCTCGTGTGCGTAAGCCAGCCGTTTTTGAAAATCGAATTTTGTTTATGTAACCTATCTATACCATTTTACTTATATTATCATTGGGCATTAGGCAGTTTTTTGTTATGAAGCCAATTTTGGATATGTCAGTTTGACATTTAAAATTGATAGGCGTGTTTTAAATGATTACCTAGATGGCGCATGGAACGAGAATTTAATATATTTTGCCATTAAGCAAACAACAAGGGTTTTTCGCTTTATGATATTGGCAATGTTTTACATGAAAATACCTACTTTTTTAGTTTTTAATGGGTTACTAGTGATCGAATGTTAACGCTAATACAGAATGCCCACTACTAATAATTGATTACGCACATAATATTTTGCACGAAAACATTAATTAATAATCAACGGAGAGGACAAAAAGATGTAAATATGTAGGTACCACATCAAATAATTAAAGTAAAGTAGACAAACTGTATTTTCGTCTTTTAAAAAGTTAGTAGCAGCGGCTGTTATTTTTTTAAACCTATTTAGCAGAGCAAAAATTGTCGTTACGTATGTATTAGTGTTATAAAATTAGTAAAAACAAACAGAAATTAAGAAAGCGGCACTAAAAGCATCTGATTTTATTCCAAAAAACAAAAACAATAAATACGTACTTACGCGTAAACAAAAATGAGATAACGAGTTTAATTGGTAGTTATAAAAGTTATTAATTTTCAGAAATTATGTAAATTGTATGTTAGGTTTAATTATATCAATAGCATTCTCTCTCTAAGCTCTACGTCAAGATATGTAGGTACTTGAAGGTAACATAATACATATGCCGTTTTGCATGAAAAAATGTAAACGAATTTTTTAATTTGAAATGCGATGAAAATGTAACACTAATCAATAAACAAATGACTACTTTTGGAAAAAGAATCCCATGTTTTTAAAACAAAATTAATTAGCCTTAGCCTAACAAAAACTATTTTGATTTTTAAATGGCCAGTACCTACTGCAGAACGGCAATTTCATAGGTAAAGACCTATTATTTCAGAACCAAATTTTATCCATTACTTAGATAAACTTTCGCCATTATTAGCGGAATGTGTTTAGTGGTAAAAATAAGAAATTTAGGTATTGAGGAAACCCATATATAATACTTAATCGGGAACACATACCTATATATTGTTACGTAATAAAAAAAAAGTTGATCAATAGAACCTCACTGTCTGTAGGAATTTTCAATATCATTAACATAATATTTCGAAGCCAAAAAAAAGAAAAATTGATTATCATAGACAACAAATTCCAAATTCGAAACGAAATATTTTAAAAAGGTTACATTTTTTATCAACATTTTTCTGTTTTTTTTCAAAGTAAAAACTGATGAATCTTCTGTGAAACGGTTAGGAATGTATTTAAAAATAGCTTTTTGTATATAAATGAAACTATTCTAAGTAATTGATTACCGGTGTAAGGCACGGAGTGACACACCCTTGTGCTACGCCCTTTATCGGTAATGACACGCGATATATTTTTTGTTTAAGTTAGATATCTAACTATATATTTTTTTGAATGTATACCTATACCTACATGATTCTAAATTGAATGAAAGCTTAGTATCTAAAACTGAATCTATACTAATATTATAAATGTGTAAAATTAGTAAGTTTGTATGTAGGGGCTAATTTTTGAAACCGCAACCTGGTCGGGTTTACAAAATACATTCACTGATAGATAGCTACAATATTTCTGAGTGCTATAGGCTATAAATTATAGGTACTTGATTTGCGTATTTTTGTCGAACTGTCGCTTTGATTTTTTTAAATTCCGAGATATATTACTTTTAGACGCATTCGAAGCCGTGAGCAGAAGCTAGTCGGAAATACGGAATGTTAAATTCCGTGCCATAAAGCACCAGCTACAACAATCCTTGCACATCAACCTTTTTATGCGATAATGTCGCCCTTACAGCCTTAAACATTTTACAGCGAAGCCAGGATTTTCAGTAGATATAATCATGAAAACATCGAAGTGCGAAGCGTCTTAGGGACATCAATATGTCTTGGATCCCGCAACAAAACAAATCTAAAGATATTTTTAGAATAGAAGATAGAACCACATAGTTTCAATTTGTATCAGTAGATTTAATCAAAAGTCAGTAAATTTATCTAAATGAAACAATGAAACAATGAATTTATTTTTGCAAATAGGCCATAAAACGGCACTTTTACACGTCAATTTATATGTGAAAAACTAGATGAAGCCGTCAAAATCATATTGTACTTAATATGATTTAGCCTAATTAAATTAACCAGGCTTATTTTTCGCTGATTTCTCTACTTGGATCAAAGGTTGACTGGGAGAAAATGCCATAATATGGCAGAAAGTCCGCCTCTTATACCAACTTTTGTCATTTCATGTACATAAAAGCCTAATAAATAATCAGGAAGTTATTTGGGGTCCTTCATCTCATGCTGAAGTCTGTGACAATCCGATGTTGTACTACTAATTTTCTTGTATTTCTACAAGGTTTTCAAAATTTCCACATTACGACGAACCATGCTCAACCGGATAATGGCCAGCCTTACAGAAAACTGGCGTTAAACAACACTTCCAGAGACCCAATCCTCTGCTCTGAGGTGAGCTTGGATCTTGAAGTCCCCAGAGCTTTAAATCGATAGTAGGTGCCCATGGTTGGAGTCGATATCTTACAATCAGATGTTTTGACTGCTCATTGCTACAAAAATGGCAAAATGTAGGTTACTACTTAAGAAAGTTTCCTCCGATCCGAAAACCCCAAAAACTCTATGCTCGATACGCGTGCATGTAAGTAGCGCTTGCGGTCAGACGATAATATGAAAAACGTCGCAAATTGGAATTGCAATATTTAACAACAGTTATATAACAGACATAACTATATCGTTTTGTCGGTATGTATGTAAGAAGTCGATCCATTTGACCGTTCGTAATCAACTTTAGCGTGCAATAGAGCAATTTGTGGTCTGGTAGTCCAACGGGACGGGTAGTGATGTAACTTAGTCGATGTTTCGATTTATCGATAGCTCTTTACAGTTAGTTATGTGCGGTCGATATCGATGGGGTTTGCTGTGAGAATTAAACAGTGTACCTACGTTGAATAAGATAAAACGTAAGAGTTTTTTTAACGATTTTAATATCTGAACTTTGGACTTGTTCCTTAAGACTAACGATATTTAACGCTAGTCGGACGAGTGAATACAAAAGTCATTATATAGAAAAGATATTCAAATACAAGAAATGATGTCAAAAATTTACTTGAGTGGACAGTGGTGGAGTGCAGTTTGCTGCGTCATATGTCACACAATACTTCTTGTGACTTCGCATTCGCACATTAAAGGTCCGAGGACAGTAATAAAATCAACATTACAAATCCTACATCGCTTAGTTAAAGTTTGAGTCCAATTAAATATCACTAAAAAATCCAAACCTAAAACTGCTGGACAGTAGCCCGCTAGGCAATATCACCATGCCTGAGATAACATTTCTCTCTGTACCTATGAGTTTGAACCCCTAGCGTGCTTTAAAATTAAGTGCGAGTTATTTGACCAAAAAGTTCTCTTTCACGTCGGATTAAAATTAATCTGTAGATTTTAATCAACTTTTGTCATTACGTGGACCTTCCACTCAATAATAATCAAATCTTTAATCGATACAGAGATTTTGTATTAATTCATCAAACCCCAAGCGAACGCCGGTGTTCACGCACGTATAGTCTTACTATTGCGTCTCGAATTACCATGACTGAAAGGTTAAAATCTAAAGGCTAAAGACTAATTTTGATCGTGTATCGATAATAAGCACATCACTATTATGTTGTCAGCTCATCGTACAGTACGCTTCATCGACGTTTCTTTACTGTTATCTTGAATCGTTAGCTGTACCGTACCATATTGTCTGGGGACCATCGGAATGGAAACTATCATTTATATATTATATTTATGTTTAATATTTATATATATAACAGCACTTAATTAACTGTTAAACGTGACAGCGGCAAATACGTTCCTGTCCTTCTAATATTATAAATTTCAAAGTTTGAGAGGGTAGTACACATAGATGGATGTCTGTTACTCTTTCATGTAAAAATTACTGAATGGCATTTGATGAAATTGTCTGAAAAAACGGCGATGACGATGACAGAAGCTAGATAATCTAAATACATTTCATAAACTAATTACACCTAGGTATACCTACTATTATTATAAAGAGGTGAAATTTGATCAAAGATTACCCAATCTTTGGAACCGCTGGTCGGATTGCCAAAATTCTTTCACTGATAGTAAGCTACAATATTCCTGGGTGCAGCAGGTGAAAACGCGAGAGTAGCTAGTTAACTATAAAATGTCATTAAATATTAATGAAATACACACAAGTTTGACATTTTCATCCGGTAACATTAAAATTCTCAACGGTGCGTGTGTGCGTGGAAATATGTCTGTCATAATTGTATTTATATATTGTGTCTGCTTCATTGATTTTACTGTTATCCTTGCACCTTACTATGGCGGCTGACGCTTAAAGGAAACCATAACGATTTATTATTAAATAAATTTATTTGAATCAATTTATAGCGAGTGCCCATTAAAGACAGTAACATAACCGTTATTATGTAATTGAAGTCAATAAAATATAGGTTTTTTTTTGTGAGGGGAAAATCATCAAATAACTTCTCCCGCCCAGGGCCCGGCGGGAGGG